CTATAAATAGTATGTACCCTCTTGGCTCTCTCTTGTCGACCCGGGCTGCGACCCGACAACATGTCCTTTACAGCTTGTGAATAAATTACTATTCTTGCACCTTCCTTGCACCGCCTCTGACTCCATATCTCTCGGCACTACACTGGTGACCCTGATACGTCTTGAGAAGTTTCCGGGACGGAGCCGAACACGGCAAAAGGAACTCGAGTTCCTTTCTCGAAATGCCGGGGTTTGATTGGAGACGTCCGTGGCTGCCACCGGCACGCGGACTGAGGCTCGGTGCGCGCTCCGCAGAAGGCTGGAGACGTTGCTCGCCATTCCCGCATTGGCTTTCTATCCAACGGGGGGACGATGCACGACCTGCTGGGTCGACCAGCAACCCCATTGCTACCTCGTGGGTTTGTTCTTCGGGGCGTGCGGCTGCACATCCCGGCTGCTAACCACGTGGGGCTAACGACGGCTGGCAGCTACCCATGGCTGCCAGCTAGCGGCTAACCACGTGGGGCTAACGACGGCTGGGGCTAACGACGGCTAGTGCTAATGGCTATCGGCCCTTTTGAGTTTTTTTTTTTTTTTTTTTTTTTCTGGTACCGGAGAGGAGGTTTGACCAGCCTGTTGACCTCATGTGGACACTCTCACCTTTTTCACCACCTCCACGGCGGTTCCAGACGCCACTCACGTTTTCATCGACGCCTGGGTGGTGCACTCCTGGACCTCGCCTCGACGGTTTTGGACGTCGCCCATGCTGCCATCGGCCCGTGGGTGGCGCGCTCCGGAGCCTGTCTGGCCTCTCCTGCCTTCCGGGGATATCCAGACGCCACTCACGTTCATCGGCGCCTGGGTGGCGCACTCCTGGACCCCCTCTCACCTCGACAGTTCCGGACGTCACCCATGCTCCATCGGCCCATGAGTGGCGCGCTCCGGGACCCTGTCTGGCCTCTCCTGCTTCCCATGCCTCAGCGCCTGCTGAGGACTTCATGCCCGCCGCCGCGGCACTTCTGCCTGCGGCCGGGTTGCTCTCCTACTTCCCGGGGATACCTCGACACCTGCCGAGGACTTCGTGCCCACCGCCGTTGCACGTCTGCCTGCGGCCGGGTTGCGCTCCTTCCTCCCGGGGGGACTGCTCCTCTCTTCCGGGGATACCTCGACGCCTGCCGAGGTTGCGCTCTTTCCTGCTGGGTTCTCCGCGACACCTACTGCGGCCCCCTTACGACGGCCCGCCCCCCCTGCCCTCACCTGCGGCCCCACCCTCCTCGGCCCTTGTGGTGCTTCCTCCACGGACGTGGGGATATATATTTTTTTGCCATGTTTGAATTCTGGGGGGGGCTTGTGTGGTGACCACCTATTTAACCACTGGGACATAATTCAAACTTGGAACTACAGTTGCGGTTATTGTTCCCACACGGACATGTTATGGGTTACCTATAAATAGTGTGTACCCTCTTGGCTCTCTCTTGTCGACCCGGGCTGCGACCCGACAACATGTCCTTTACAGCTTGTGAATAAATTACTATTCTTGCACCTTCCTTGCACCGCCTCTGACTCCATATCTCTCGGCACTACAGTAGTCAGTTTAGCTTCGGTTGCTATGCTAACATCACCCATTTTATACCAGAGAAACTTTCATAACAGCGTTGTGATACCAAACAGCGTCAATTCAGACTGACACACATTCACTTAGGCTAAGGGGAACTGGGGATATGTATCAGCTGCTTGTGTGAGTCGGACAGTGAATACTTTAGAGCGGCCGCAGCAGTGTGAGCTAACCGGGAGCTAACGGAGGAGAATAAACTCCCGTGGAAGAGCAGCCAACACTGCAGTGGTCGGTAAATGCTGCAGAAACACATTAATAAACAATGAACCACGGCACTCTGGAGAAAAGTATAAGGTTGGAGAAGTCGTTATTCAATTTAATCTGGCTTCGTGTGATTAAAAGCAACACGATCATCGACCCGACGCAGTTCCCCGTTGTTGTGAGCGCCGTAATGCCGTTGGGGAGCAAATCAGCGATGTAAACGATGACGTCATGACGCAGTAGCGGCAGCACCAGTTGGGTGCTGGGCGGTGTGAACAGAGCGGGAGCAGAAAAGGGAAACCGGAGCTGAACCAGAAAAGCTCTAGCTCGGAGCTAGAAAGGGAAAAGCGCTGGTGTGAAAGCCGCAATAGAGCAGAGCTTGAATGAAACACAAAGACCAGAGAATACTTGTACTCACAACGCTAGGCTATTATGTGCAGAATCCCTCTCGCTTTCAGGTGGTTTTAATTGAGTGTCCACACGTGGACTTTTAAGGACTAAAAAACGATCCATCTTTCACATTGCTGTTAGCAAATCATTTGGCGCTCTAGCTAACAGGAAGTCACTCAAGTGTCACAAAGTAATTTAGCCTATGAGTAGGTCAAAAATTGAATGGGTGCTGGCCATTGGCCTAATCATATCACCTGTGTTGGCTTTATGTTTTTGGTAAAACATATGTTTGTTTCACATATGCATTGATGTAATCAATAATTTTTCTAATTTAATAATAATAATAATTAAAAAAATAAAACATATTTCTTGGGGGTGCTTAGGGGGTGCTTTGACAATCCTGGGGGGTGCTTCAGCACCCCCTAGCTCCCCCCTGGCGCCGCCCCTGCAGGTAGGCCATCCAGTTACTTTAGCCGGGCCGGCTAAAATTATTGGTCGTGCTTTTTACAGTACTACGGCTTCCACAGGTGACATTTTTTAATGTATTTATTGTCAAAGCATTTAATATATTCATTGCTATTGGGATGTTAAGAGCATTCCATGGAATGTAACAAAAAGTGTATCTGAAATAAATTACATACCCCACCTTTAATGTATATATTATTCTGAAATAGGCTGTTATGCAGAATGAGTACTTAACTTTTCGACTTTTCATACATTTAGATTCTAATGCTTTTTTTTACTTAAATTATATTTTGAATGTATGACTTTAAATTATTTGCTATGGTATTGCTTCTTTTCCTTTAGTTAAATAACAGAATACTTTATTCAACATCTGCTGAGAAGGGGCTATAGCTTCTGTTTGACATCCTGTCACGGTGCAGGGTAACTTGCATTATTTGAATATTCTCACACAGGGATCATTTTCCAAAACAGCAATCGCTGACTGTGCTCACGCCTCAGGAACATCTCATTATTTTGCCCACTAGCTTTTTGTTAAATGTGTGTATTGGCTGGATCAGTCTAAATACATCACTTTTACATCACTTTGAAACAAGTGTATGAGTTTGAACTTTTATTTTTATTTCTGTGCATGTGGGATTGTTCATACACTTGTAAAAGCATCTGTTTGTGTTAATAGGACTTTTTTGAAACATATATATTGATGATAGGGACAGTGAGCCAGCATGCACAGTGCCAGACATCTGAAACTGAAGCAGCTTAATGCAGCCATCATTCAAATGGATCACTATCACCAATGCCTTTACTATATGTCAACATGTTGTCTGTAAGGCCTACGGATATAACTCTGTTTTATCGTGTCTTCTTTTTTTAATTGATTAAAATGTAGGATGAGAATTGCAACAATAAAAAACTCTTACTTTTAGCAGTGTATCAATTAAGTATTCATAATATAGCAATACGATAATGAATGTTTTCCTGAAATCAATTCAATGTTTTGAAAAAAACAAAAAACAAACAGCAGAATGACTGAAATAAATTAAGGACTTTAAAGTTATCTGATATTTGTTTGTTTTTTAAGAATAGGTGAAATTGCAATATCACCTTTTCTTTAATACATTTTCTTTTAAAACTGCCAATGTCACCCAACAAAAAGCTTTCAAAAACATTCTATAAAAACACATTGTAATGAATGTGATGAAGGTGGTAAGCAGTACCACGAAGAGCAATAATCCAAAGCAGATCTAATTATATTGGATGCAGTTATAGTTGATTAAATGGTGTTTCCCTATAAAGAACTAATACCAATACTCTGAGGTGCCACTAGATGGAGCTAGAGACCATAACATCCAACTTCTCATTGAGCTGTGACCTGAAAATCTGATATTAACATGAACATTTTTGTTGAATATATAAATATTATCATGAATAATGCAATAGCTCTTTAATCTTTCACTGAAATTGTTTTCAAACTGTGCCTTGTGTGCATTGTAACAGTGTGTTATAATGCACATTAACTGGATATTGTGCTCATTCATAGTGACTCACAGTTGTGGTTATGTTTGTATTTATTGTAAAAAATGTTCATTCTGCCCTTTTGGCAAGGTTACTAATGAAAAATAACTTGATCTCAATGAGATGTCAACTTAGTCAAATAATTATATATCATCCTCTGATTGTGTATGATGAAATTATTTCTTAACAATCGGGACATTGTATTGGTCCATATTAACCAATTGACAGTTTTGTTGTTACCAGGACCACTTACTAATTACTTGACTCATTATAAGTGTGTTTTTATTTTCCCTCCACTCCATCTTATCCATTAATATTTAAATGATATAACCAAAGCCTAACTAGTTACACATGATTCAATATTCTAAAATGTGTTTAAACACGTAATCTCGTGTGCATTAATTATAAATAACATTCACAAGCTGTTAGCGTAATTTTATTTGACGGGTCAATTCTGTGAGATCCTAGAGTAGCTCTTGCTTTTCATCTCAAACTCTATTGTATGACAATATGCAGCACAGTATTTGATGTCGAGGGTATCTCTGGATTAAAACGTGTTGTATTTATGAACTTCTCATGTTTCCATTGAGCTGCACTGCTTGTTCTCAGAGTTTTTATTCAAAAGGATTACTGTCAAACATTTTGACTCTGAAAAGTGATATTTTACAATTTACATGTAAGTTATGATTGTGATTTGTCACCGTTTTCACTGATCCTGAATGGCTCTCTGCTATGTTGTATTTGAACTGATACTTAAGTCATCCTTCACAGAATAAAGTTAATATTTTTTGCGTGCAGGATCCATAAAATGAGCAGATAGGAACAATTATGAAACAGATTTGTGTGTGCCTCTTGTTTATTTGTCTTCATGAGCAATTCACTGGATAAAACAAATACTGTTACAACACAAAAAATTATTATTTTCCAAAGCAACTTTGGCCACATGTTATGTACATGTTACAAGGTCATAATAAAAAGACAGAAGGTCATCTCCTCATATCACTGTTTTCTCCATTTTAATAATTAAAAAAGCTTTTCACTGTTCACCAGGCATTTACATTGGAATAGAATGCTCCGGTCAACTTCACTTTTTTTTATTATTTGCAAATGCAAAACTTGTCAACAATAAATAATACTATAAAATGTACACAAAAAGATTGACAGTCCACCACGAGTTAAAACGTTGAACAGATTGGATGGTTACGGACAGGAAGTTGGGAGGAGGGTTTCTTCTTAGCAAAAATGTGACGGTCCATCCAAGTTACAGAAAAAAAGCTGATCATCTATACATTGACACTAGCAAGATAACAAAGTTGTTGTTTCTGGTATATTTCATTTTGTACAAAGAAGGGAGTCTTCTTTACAAGCGAGCATCATTGTCTTAACTGTGGAGATTATACAAGCAAGAGTTAAGGCAACTTCTCTGTTGTTTTTGAAAGGTAACATGAAGTCATGTCATCTTTTATTTTGTCTGTGGACCACTGGTCTATATTAGGGTTGGAGTAAGTTGTCGTTGCATAATTCAGGCTGTTGACCAGGCCTGTAGTCCATCATCAAAAAAAGGGATGCAGGAGATTTGTCAAGAGTCTGTTCGCCATCACAAATACTGAATAAGTGGTCCAGAATTTTTCCACATGAGATGTAGGCTTTCATATCTTGAATATCTGTCTCAGACATGGACAGTGTATCGTTTGCAACGCCAACACAACATTGTGGAGATTAGAGTCAGATCATGCATGTTGTTTTGTCTGTGTGTGTCTGAATGTGTGTGTAACGGTGTCAGGCAGGAGAAAATGCAGAGATAGTAAAATATGTTGGTTAGTTCCTCATCAACGTCTGGTAAAGACAATGACATAGGCCTACTTGGAGTTCTTACAGACTAGTGGTAAATTGTCATTTTAGCTTGATGGTGTGACTGTGAGAAGGGTCAGAAAAAGGAGGGAACAATCAACATTTTGCGAAATTTCCTTGTGAAGCTATAGCTAGCAGCCGGTTAGGTAAGCTTAGCATAAAGACTGGAAACAGACCAAATAAACTTTAGTATTTTGTAGGATTTACAGGTGCTGGTGGACCGATTTTTTTTAAACCTTTGGACAAAGCAAGGCTAGCTTCTACCCCGTTACTATTATTTGCGTTGAGCTAGGCTAACTAACAGCTTGCTGAAGCTGGGACTACAGTTGGAGGCTTAAGTTTAGTCTGATGGTCGCATGAACAATGTCACAGGAAAAGGTAGCCAACATTTTTTAACATGTGCCCTCTGGGGAAGAAACATTTTTGGGAAATCCGATTATGGAGCTACAGCCAGCTTTAAGCATTAATACTGGAAAACAAATAGTTATGTTGATAAGTAAGACTTCCAGGTGCTGGTAAACAGATCTTTTAAAACCTTTGTACAGAGCAAACCCATTTACTATCTCAATGCTGTGTTATGCTAAGCTAAGCCAGAGTGGTGACAATCTTTTGATTTAACTCTCAAATAGAAATATATCAAATAATCATATATTCTTTGCAATGACTTATGGCCATATGCTTTAGATATTTCATGTTGAAAGTATATCTTCTGTCCCGGGTGGCGCTTGATGACAGCTACACGCGACTCCAAAATGGATTCATCATTCTTTGATTTACCGGTCGATTTTCCTGTTTTGGGCTAGCAGACAGTAAAGAGTTAGCTCGGAGCAGTTAGCTTACATCAGTAACCAAAGTAACTAACCAGAACATATAGGTCATTTAAAAAACGGTGTTCTCCTTACCTGACACAATTGCCTTCCTACTTATATTGAACCGAATGGTGCAGGCCCATACAGTAACTATGGACAGAGCAGTGGCTCAGATTTGTACATGGTTGTAGCTATTGGGGATACTGAGGTAATGCCCTCTGTATGTTTTTGCATCCTGGGGGGACTTTACAATCTAAAAATCTACAGACTGCTGATTGTTTGTACATTTGATAAAATATAACATTTGCAGAAAGTAACAATTGAAAAGATTTAAAAGTTGACGTATTAAAAAAGATTAGAAACCTCATCTTTGTTTTTTGGTCAAAACAGTAAGCGGGATGTTGTGGGGCTGTGGCCTTGGCTTTGTATTACTCCCATATTACAGACAATAAAAACAACAGTGTCCAGTTACATTGTTGTTTCTGGATTCTGTACAAGAAAACTGCCCGCTATCTCTGAAATAATAACAGCAAGGGGTATCTCTACTTATGGACAAATACAGCAGAAGGTAGACGAGACAGAAACAAGCAGCTTAAAGAGAGCATTTTAACTGCCTTTGATTGCAAAGAAATGAAACGGGGGCATGGAACTGCTTAAAGTGACACCAAAGCTGGGCCTTGGCAAGCATCAAGGTAAGCCTAAATGCCTGACTAACAGGCAACAGATAAAGTTGCACACTGCTTACTCTGAGTCAACACTTTATAATCTCGACTGTGCTCTCTGATTGCACCTGCCTCACAAACACGTACACAGTTACATGTATGTGCATTGTGTGTAAGTGATATGATGGCTGCATGTATGCTTGTGACATGTAAGTATGAGTTAATGTTGGGCCTCACTTGGACACAGAACAAATCAGACAGAAAAAAACCAAAGGCTACTACAAAAACAGTCAGATGGGATGGGATTATATATTTTTACTTTTACCTGCAGAGCTATTCTTCACCCTTTATTGACATCAGCTGTTAAGATGTCTGCCTTCTCTTTCTGTATTTATTTGGAATGCAATCTGGTTCCATTATATTGAAGAGAAGGCAGGCGTCTCTACAGATGCTATCTCCAACACTAAAGGGATAAATAGTGCTACAGGTTAGAGATAAAATAGGTATTTTAGATTTTGGGGTGAAATGTCCTTTTAAAGATCATTCAAGTTGTTAGCTATGTTAGATTAATCCAGAGTTGTATTTCATCTTCCATGAAGTGTGACATACCTTTTTAATTGGTTAAATAAACCATGAAGAGACAAAAGAGGGTAATACTGTTTTTGACATCCACGTGTGTACTCTTTCTTTCGTTTTGAAAGTGCTTGTTATCTTGGCAACTATAAATTATCTGGTCAAATCTTCAGTTTGCAAATCCAATTTCCACTGAAAACTAGGCGACATGTTTTGTTTCATCACACTGGAGGCCTTTGGCATATGATAATACCTTGTCTCGTACATTTACAATGTACCTCCTACATAAGGGTGTAAACTAAATGCTCATTTTTAGTTTGATGTCCTAGCTCACCGTCTTAAACTGCAGTGTAAGTGGATCAGATCAAACTGAACGTTGACAGTTGTATTTAATTCACTTAAAGGGGACATATCACGCTCATTTTTATGTTCATACTTTTACTATGGGTTTTGACTAGAACATGTTTACAAGCTTTAATGTTCAAAAACCCGTTATTTATCTCATTCTGCTTTCCTGAATATATGTTTATTCAACCTCTCCTTCAAATGCTCCGTTTTAGCACCTGTCTCTTTAAGACCCGGAAAAGCCTGGTCTGCTCTGATTAGCCGGCAAGAAAGATAAATTGAATCTTTGCAAAGGCAGTTCTGATGCCTTGAGAGGAGATGCTCAGATAGGGGGCATTATATTTTGAATGGCTTTGTTAAATCCCATGTTTTATGACCTTGACAGAAAACTGTCCTAATGTATGTTCACAAGCACAAAAAAAAGTGACTTTTTTATGATATGTCCCCTTTAAATTGCACAAAGACATACATAGAGCATGCTAAGGAAAACATTGGCTTTACAATTGGCTTAAAACTAAAGATAATTGGCAAAAATTAAGAAACTTGGCAGGATTGATGGACAAGCAAGAAGCAATATTTTAAATAACTCTAAATATTTAAAACATAACATTTGTCTTGAGTGTGTTTATTGTAGAAAAGAACGTGTGGTGTTACTTTAAGTCCCACAATAATTATTCTGAAAGAGCTGGCTTTCCTCTGCCCCCTCTAAATTTAGTGCAGTCAGTTTCAAACTAGCCCATTACAGGAACATCACTGGTAATGTATTATAAAAAAGATGAAGTACTAGCCTGCGGTAGCAAGTAACCACTGCAGGTTGGCAGAGTTTTTATATTGCCATGCAATCCAGGTTCTTTTTCGAGGCGCATTAAGCCTTGAAACGTTCTAAAAACAGCAGGGGGGCCCATTCCGGTTACTGGTATGGCGTACTGTTTAAGCACTCAGGCGAGATTCCAAAGGGCGTGAAAATGTCAATGGTAGGAATGCTTTTCATGGCAACTGTGTATCATTCTTTTGTTACAACATACAGTATATGTCAATTAAGTGGAGTTTAATACCAAACAAACTGATGCTACAGGACATGCCAGAGATTGTATGATTCCGCTCACACACCATTCCTTGCTGGTGAAGGTTAATCATTTATCTTCCAGTATGCTCATTCAGAAGGAATAATTATCCACAAAATTGGTGATTTAGTGTCCAAGGACACTTTTTAAGCCTTCTGATTGAAACATCTCTTGTAATTGTCCTTCAGTCACATCCTATTAACTGTGTTCATGTTTCGCCCCTCAAAATCACCCAGAACACTTTGACAAGTACATTTTCGCTGGTTAGAATTTCTGTTATTTCTGCCATCTCTATGGCTCTATAATTCTAAAATCAGTATATACCTTAGTGACAAGGTGTGAGAGAAAAAACAAACACTTACTGGATCAGAGATTTACTTGTGGTGTGGCACCATGTTGGACAAAATGGTAGAATTTCATTAAAATAAGGTAGTCACTCTTTGGGGCTCCTTCATTAATCACTCTGGTGCGTTCTGTAGTTACAGACAATGTGAAGAGCTCTTGCTTTGATGGTGACGCTGGATTAGGTGTAAGGGGCAGTGTGGGCTGAGAGCCTCTAAATAAGGAGAGAAGCAGTGGGGTGAAGTCCTCTTGTTGCAGTATTATACTGTCTGCAGTACAAAGTCTGTAGTTCATTCCGTCAGAGCGTCTGTCACACGGACCAAATGAGTCCAGAGCGCTCTGTTGTGATACTCATCAACATGTTTGGTTGGACTCTCATCAGTCGTCGAAGGCGATTTGTGGTGCTGGTAGACTGGGCGATGAGCGAGGACTTGAAAAAAGTGTATGTGTGTGCGTGTACATGTGCGGTAGTGTCGCTGGGAGGGGTGGGGTTTGGAGGTGGGGGGTGGACAAGTGAGTGTTGTTGATGGCACTGTGGTCCTCAGAGCGTCCATCTGTGAAACACAGTGGGAGGAGAGTTAGACTGAGTCACCCACAAGGCTGGTTTTTCTTAAGTCGGTGCATGTGTCCAAGCACATTGCTCTTGAATGCAATTTTGTTTAATTAACAACTTGAGGAGTGTATCATAAAATGTGTACTGTATTGAATAAGACCCTTGACATGATAGATGTGCTAATCCCATACTGAAGTTCATATAAGCAACACAAAGAAAAAATGTAATATAATTTTCCTATAAAATGGGAATAACACTCCTGCACAACTAAACTGCAATTGCAATTATGTTTCAAGGGAAACACGCAAAACTACTTGTTTTTCTTTACACGATAAAACAACTTGGTTAGGTTTAGTATAACATCACAGTTTGGCTTCAAATTAGTCTGTTTGATACATCCTTTTTAAAAGGCCCTATTATGCTTTTTTGGGTTTTCCCTTTCCTGTAGTGTGTTGTATAGGTTTTGGTCGGCAAAAGCTAAAATCCTAAATTCTCTCCAGAGGGAGTTTCTCTCCAACACAATCCCACCACTGCCTGAATCGCCTCCATCTCATTTGTTTACTTCCGTAACATAACTATGTAACACTCACACTTCTGTTGGCTAGCCTTCCAAAAATGTTTACGTGATGGGCTACGGGGCGGGACATCTCTAAGCAGTTGACCAATCACAACAGAGCCAGCTAACCAATCAGAGCAGACTGGGCTCTGGTTTCAGACAGAGGGTGAAAAGAGGTGCTGCAGCACAGGCAGTATGAGAGAAATAAAGAGCTTTTTGAACATTAAAGCATGGAGACATGTCACAGTAGAGACACAAAATACAAACATGAACCTGAAATTAGCATAATAAGTCCTCTTTAAGTACAGACGTAAATTAAAATAAGTAAACTTGGACTTAGGGTTTACTGGGGACACAAACATGGTCCTTTTGGGGGAGGGTCCTCTGTTTTATCAATCAACCCATGCTCTACAGACGAAATGTATTTCTGATGTGTCAAATACACATTGGTGAAAAAATGTGTTTCCTTTGAAACGTAAATGACAATGAGGAGACCAGACTCACGAGGAACACCAAACTTCCATTTCAAGTTAAGTGGGAAAAAAGAGCATGTACAATAACAACACACAATCAGTTAAAAAGTGGAAAATGCAAATATTCAGAAGGGCTTCCTAATGTTCTGTTGATTCTCTACAGTGCGTGCAATCAGTATCAGCTTGAGGGCACTTTGGGGCAAATAAAGAATTGAATTGAAAGTGCTCCTCTGGTGCCATACATTTGACATAGTGTTTTAGATCATTCATAACTAATGCCTTATATGGCAGAAGAGTGAATAAGGTGAGATAGATCTTTTTGCATTCGTTAACATTACTTATCAAATGTTGTGTATCTTCAGTTACCTGAAGGTCATGTTACATTTTGCTCAGCTGCTGGTTTGGTTTTAGCAGTACTTACTGTGCATGGAGCTTGATTTCCGTCTTTTGTCATTATTAATTACTCTAATTCAGAGCGCTCGCCTCATGTTACCATAACTTCAATTGCTCTTGAATACAATCTCATTTAATTACCAACTCAAGGAGTGCATCATTAAATATTGCATTAATGTGTTGAATAAATCCTGTTTCATGATAGACTTCCCTATATTTTGAGGCTCATAATAATAATAATAACTTAAATGTATATAGCGCCTTTCAGGGGACCCGGGTCGCTTTACAGAAAAAAGAGGAGTAAAACTCTGCGAGTAAAAGTAAAGCGACAAATAAAATGGGAGCACCTCTTTTCACCCTCTGTCTGAAACCACAGCCCAGTCTGTTCTGATTGGTTAGCTGGCCGATTAAGTACAATGTGTTGGAGCTAGGGATGCTCCGATCGGTGCTCTCTAAACATGCAGATCGCATGTGAGCGCAAATGTTACGTAGTGATGTCACTGTGTTCTGGAAGTAAACAAAGGAGTCCAATGGAGGTGTTTCAGGCAGGGGGGAGTGTGTGGGAGAGAAATGCAACTTTAGGATTTTAGCCTTTGCAGACCATTTTCATGCATAAAAACCTATATTACACACAGGAGAGGGAAAACCCCAACAAACATAATAGGGCTTATTTAATTTCTAAAAGTGTATTATTATTGCATATGTAATATTTAGATTTAGTGTGGGCTTCTAGTCATGTTCCCTACTGGACCTTGATCCTTTTATTCCCTGCAATGTAAGTGATATTGAACTACATCAGATGGTAAGACTGACATCAATAGTACACAAATTGTTAAAGAACATTTTGGAACTAAATGAGATCATTTTCTTCAAAGACACACGCTGGGGAGACATTTGAAACAACAAATTGTCTGATTATTTAGAGGGTACCCCACTGTGAATTCCAAAATGTCAATGAATAATTTTTGAAAACAGACTGCACAATTACATAAGACTGTTGGTGGAAGCACAGTGGAGTGAACCCACCTCATTTGTTTTGATTGCGGATTCGCAGACACCTCCTCTTTAGCGGCGGCTCCAGCTCAGGGCTCCCGTCCACTGATAAAGGGGCACTGATGGAGCAGGACAGGATGGCCGTCTTGTCAGCGCCGGGCTTTGGCACAGGCTGGATGACCACACAGCCTCCGGTGGACAGCAGCGGCAGGGAGTAGGCATGCTCATCCTCCTCTGCGTTGGAGTCAGGATCCGGCTTACCCTCCACCGTGTCTGCCATCTCGTCTTGCAATAAGCTCCGCTTCCCCGGCTCCCAATCTACAACTCCAACCGAGCAATTGTTCTCTTTTAGTGCCTCATGCTCTAGGTCACCGTTGGCTGGCTGTGCCTCCCCTTCTCCTGCAACACTGTCTCGCTCAGTGTAAGACTCGAAGGCAGGAGGGAGAAGCGGATGCCACCCCGAACCATTGACTATGACATTACACAGGGCAGCAGGGTTAGTTTGGAGGTGGGGCGGGGATTGGGGTTGGGTCCGTGCTGTGCTTGGAAAGGATGGTGGGGTATGGTTAGAGATACAGGGATTTAGCTGGCTCACTGATGGGTCATCATGGCAAGAAGGGCTGCTATAGCTGGAGGGAGGACCTGATGATTCCAGTGTGTTTGGTTGTGTGGCCCCTTCTAGCTCCGTAGCACCGAGGAAGCCCTGTGAGAGGGCCCCTTCTCCCCCGTCACAACTCCCCTTCCCTTCCCAACTCAGCCCAGCAGCTGGTGGAGATCTTGAATCAGTCTCTGCCTCTACTTTGACCTGGAACCCTGGTAGCATCCTCTGAATGACCTGCTGTTGGCAAGTCCTCTGGCCCACAGTTAGATCAATCACCCCGTCCATGGGTCCGGGGCAGCTGGTTGGACACAGGTTGCCCGAATTGTCCTCTGCCTTCACAGTCAAGTCCACCATCCCTGTCCTGCTCCTCTCTGAGTGTGCAGGAGAGAGACGCTCTAGAACTGATGGCTCTACTTTCTGCTCCCCCCTGTGACCTCCAGAGGAACCTGGAGAGTGGGGCCCCGAAGCTGAAAATTCGGATGACTCTGGAGCACTGCGGAAGGGGCCACTCCTCTCCGGCTTGTCCCAAGAAGCCTGAGGGTTGTAGGGAATAGGGATTGGAATAGGGATTGGGACTGGTAATGGTACAATGACAGGGTAGGGGATCAAGAGAGTTGCCGGGGGTACTAATGGGGACAAAGATGGCATGCCATAGTTCATCATTGGGGGCATAGGAATGCGTCCATTGGGCATCATATTGACTGGGGGGAAATGGGGGAGGCCTGGCATGGAGAAACCGGGGTAGGGTGGCATCATACCAGGGTTGGGGTTGGATGAGGGGTAAACATGTGGAGACATCTGAGGCCTGTGCATGGGGCTCGATGCTGGACCCATGCTCCTTGGAAGTGGACCAATACCAGGGATCATAGGGTTTGACAGGGGGCTATGGGGCCCACCTGGGTGGGCAGAGGGCCGAAGATATGGTGAACGCATCTGCTGCATCATTTGATGCTCCATGAACAGGGGCAGGGGCATGGGTCCTCGTGGTGTCATCACCATTGGAGGGCTACCAGGAGGAACCCCGACAGGGGGGTGCAAAGTGGGAACAGGCGGAGGGTGGAGTGTGGGGCTCTCGTGGAGTCTGGGTGTGGGGATCTTGGACGAGGACGACGGGGAGTAGACAGCTGCAGAGTCTGAGGGGGAGGTGGCAGAAGAAGTAGAAGGGGCCATTGCAGAGGTTGTTGAGGGCCCCCCTGGCGAGGGAGCTTTACGCCGGAGGTCCGTTAACGGCGTTCCCCAAGATTCAGGAGTGAGCAGCTGTACCCCCCCGCCGCACTCCATCTTACCCTCACCTCCTCCCCCGTGTCCTGGGTTACAGAACCCTCCCGGCAGCGCAGCCTGGGTCTCCTTGTAGAAAATGTCCATCTTATATTGGTTCAGGCATTTGGCACTGCAGAACTGCAGCCTCCGCTCACCAGCACCAAAGTCCAGGTACTCCTTAGTGTGGCGGATATGTTTGCACCAGTCACACACCTGTAGCAGAAAACACACACAGGACACACACTGCATCAGCACCTGTCGCTCTGCAAACAAAATACTTCTAATTTGTTTGTGATTAAATACAATTTAATCTCCTCTGAATTACAATGGTAAGCAAATGCTTAGCCTCCAAACCATCTGTAGATTACAAAAATCTAAAATACTTTTAAACAAAACTCATGCTGTTTCAAAATACTTAGAATTTACAGTATGTCCGAAAAATGTTCCTTACAGAGAGCTAAATGTGCAAATTGCCATTCTGCTGCTAAGTGGTATTAAAGTGACTTTGTGTTTATCTTCCTGTCATAACAAGGAATTCCCATGTACGCCTTATGTTGGCAATAAAAGCACTTCCAGTCTCATTTAACCACAACCCAAGCACAACAAGACATAAAGACATTTCAAAAAGTGAAAAGTCTGTAAGTGTATGGTATTGTGTTGTTGGTTAGCAATGTAACAATCTTTTAAATCAAGTATAGTCTCAAAAAACCAGAATGCAATGCAGCCATCTTTTTATAATCTCGTCATACATGTACTTAGAAGCTGTGTTAGAAAATGCACAAGATAATTTGTTTGCCTGCATAAAAAACAAGTCTGGACAACAGTTTAACACCTAACAATATGACATTATGCAACACAATATCTCAATGTATTCCTCAACAAATGAAACTGTCTTTTTTTACACTTCTCTAACTTTTTCTGCATCTACATTCCTGACAATTGTGTGATTAAAAGCTTATGAATGCCTTAATTTTCACTGCTCATCCAGCATAAAAGTAACTGGTTCTTCTTGGAAAATGTTACTGTACGTTATACTAATAAAGTTCTGCAGCAGCATGTTATTTCTTAAACTATACCCAATAAGGCACATTCATGATTTCAAAACAGGACCATAAATTCAGTATGAAACTAAATCTCTCATCTTACCTTGTGATTTAAGGCAGAATCTCTTCTGTATGCAGAGAGCAAACAAGAGGAGGCTACATTGAAAAGTTGTCTTTCTGGTAGTGGCAAAGATCCCAAAACATCCGGCTGCACTGTTTCATCACTGTTATACACCTTTGCATTACAAAAAATGCACATTTTCCCCCGGGAGGCAAATGAATGTGACCCTGGTAGAGCAGATAAGAGTGGGCGAGCCCGGAACACGGCGTTACTCGTCAGGCCACACACAGCTCACTCTGTCAGCTCTAGGAGGAGTGGCAGGTCCTCGCCGGAGATAATTAAGGCATTAATCAGTTGTCAGACCCCTCAACGACATCCATCTATCACACGGACCCTTAAGCCCCCCTGCTGAATCTTAATAAGTTCCAACCGGAAGGTGGATAAACTCATTTTTTGCACACTGCATAGCAACATTGGCAGGATCCTGTCTGGCAGCAGCTGAAAGACAGTGGACTCACATGCGCTGTTCGGGCACTGTAACACTGGCCAGGATTTCAAAGGCATACATAGCATGCTGTCCTGCAGCTGCTACGCATGTAAAACATCAGGTTCCTTGTATATATTATGTGTTAAAAATCTGATAGTCGGCTGGATTTAATCAGCTCTAAAAGTTAGTAAAAAGAGTGCTGCATTTGTTATAAGCCATTATGCAGTGTCACTCAGGACGGATAAATTGCACAAATGCAATAGATTCTGACAGATGAAGGGAGCTCAGGGCAAGCAGCTGGAGAACATAAGGAATCAAAGCGACAACACATCAGAGACTGGACTACATAGCAACTGCTCAAACAGCACGCTCCAGCATCACTTCTACACGTTTTAACTGCCCATTTAGTACTGGCTAATTCAATGAGCCATGACTGAGTAAAAGTCAAAAAGGGGCTCTCGCAGGTTGAGTTTAGCCCAGGATATTTTCAATAATAAATGTGCTGAAATCTTTCCTCGACTCAGAAAGACAGATGGAGAGCACTTAACGACTTTCTGCACCGCAAGTGAAATTTCACTGCGCATTACGCTAATGGAGTTGTGCTTTCGCTCATGCGCTCTCTCCATCCACCACTACACAGATGTTTGCAGTCGAATGTAATTACGGTCATTTATTTTGATCGTGGCCAACGAAGCGGCATCGACGTTGCAGTTTAACCGGTTGCATTACAGCAATTATCGTGCTTGCAAACAAGTGCAACCACCAATCGTTTTTCTTCCTCTTCTCAAAGGGCCAGTGAAGACGCCGGTGACATTTAAGTTAATGCAACAGCTAGTTTTATTGTGGGTTTAAATAAACAATTAAGGTAAGATGATGATCTGAGACATTTTAGGGGTTAATGGATTGGATGAAAGAGTCTTAAATTGAATGACCAGGTTCTAGACCAACAGGTTGTAGATGAGGATGAAAAAGTTTCCGGCACTGAAGATGTGCAGATGTTAAAGAGATTGCAGAGGATGTGGACGATTTAGATAACGAAGAGGAAGAAGAGGAGGCGGTTGCTGAGGGTTAAGAGGCTGGAGGGTTTCAGGCGGCGCAGAGATCGTAAGGTTTCCCCAAGAGTGCCTGAAGTGGTTTTATATGTAGAATGAAGAGGTTTAAGCAGCAGAAGTGCATAAAGGGAAAGGCTTGTATATCCCCCCTCCCTATTAAGGTTGATATGTGATTCTTTTGACCCTTCTCAGATTGCTGCTATAATCACATAACACAGGGATTAAACCCCAGGAAAATGAAGCAGGTGCTTTGAGTGAGCCAGTCGCTTCTTTTTCAGTCAAATTGTCTCACACTCCAAAGAATCTGTGGCAAAGTATCCACTCTTGACAATTCAAGTCCGTCAATGATGGTAAACGGTAACACAGGGCTTGTGGATTGAGTCCAAACAAAACTATATTACAGTATGTAGCGAGAGGCTGCCATCTTAAAGCACCTGGTCCATTGAAAAAAAACTGAATAAAGCTTACACAAGAAAATTAAAGTTTGGCAGAGCTTAACAGACCATCTGCAACATGTGGACTTACTATGATTAGCCAAGATATCAGTTTGCATTGTCCTCATTTATTGGAATATCTATCATGGTGGTTATAATTACCTGGCTTACAAAAAGGGGAAACATATCTGGTTTTCCAGTGTTTTTTTTAAATTGGCTACACTACCTGATGTCTTCATTAAAACCTGAGAGGAGCATGAAAAGTTTAAACTGCAGATAAAAGCCAAAGAAGAAGAAAGCTGCACTCCGTGTTAGGCCGTTCTTATCACAGGCAGCCATCACCATCGGTCATTATAGATGTGACATACAAAGGCCATTCTCACTCTGCCAAGTCAAGTTATATCGCGCTATATTTAAACAGCACACACTCACGCACGCAACGTGAGCAAAATATCTCCCCTGTAAGAAAGATAAGACAGACAGTGGATTGTGTTTGAATGTCACTGCAGCCGACTGAGACTAAATATTTCTGTTAGCGTGTGGCTGCCGTGTACATGTTTGCTGTTACATGTGGGACATCTTTACCCAAAGCAAACGTTTGACATTTTGGGAAATATGGAAATTCCTTTTCTTGTAGATCCTGTCTGTAGATGAGAAGATCAATAGCACTCTAAATATCTATATATGAGGCTGCGGCCTATGTTAGTTTGTTTTTAGCATATTAGCATTAAGATTGAAAAGAGTTAGCCTGTCCAGATATGATAAAATCTGCTTACAAGCGCCTGTAAAGCTCACTTGCTGTTTGTCTTGCAATCAGAATCAGTTAGTTACATTTATTTGTCTGGTACCATACACAAAAAACAACAAAACAAGGATATAAGCTACTTTAGATTTTGCTACTAGCTTATTTTTTTTCTAAAGTTGCTGGCTTGCTGTTTCCCGCCATTTTCAGTCTTTGTTTAGTCAAGCTAACCTACTGCTGTCTGAAGCTTAATATTCAACTTGCGTTTAGGTTACATATACAAGCGCTATTTATCTTCTCATCTGACTTTGAGCAACAGGAAATAATCGCAATTCCTAAGATGCCTTTGGGTCTTTTTCTGTAGATCTTGACACTATTTGTCAGATGTAATAATAATAATGATAACCCCCATTATTTTCAGAGTCTGAAACCGGAAAACTCAAAACAATGCTAAAATATAAAAGTCTATTATATATACTAATCATGAATCATCCATTGGATCTACATTTGAAGCACATGTTAGTGGTATAATATTCCATTGAATTTCCGTTGTGATGAAGGGTTCACCAACTTTTCTTTTTTTGTGCAATCTATTTAAAATATTACATTGCTCAAAAATACCGAAATAAATTTCATATAAATGAATTAAGATTCCTTGTATGATAACTACTAATTCCCAACACAAGTCACTGAATACAATGTATAATGAAAATGAGCAAAACAAATGATTACATATGAAAAAAGTTCAATTTAAATGTGTGCAAACTTTATGTAAAACATGAGTTGTGTACTGTGTGTTAATTCTTGGTCTGACTTGAATCTGATGGTCTACTTTTACAGATGTGCCTAAGATCTATTAACATGTCAGGAAGAAATTAGTTGAAACTGATACACTTTTAACAAAGAACAACATCAAAACATATTTGTGCAGTAGCCATCAAGCTTAAACTCTATCTGGTGTTAAATGTTTATGGTCCTTACAAGCACATCGCTGTTTGTCTTGAAGACAAGCCTGGGCGTGTCCTGAGTAAAGCTGTGCTGGGGTAATTTCCCACCGAGGCCATCGTCGTCTCTTGCCTGGGGGGGAAGAAATAATGGCTGCTTTTTACGAATGGACAAAATAAACAGGTGAACAGAGGCAACAAGGAAACTCAGAAATGGAAAACAACAGTGAGAAAGATGAACAGAAATGGTGACTTTAAAATGGTTGAGCAGTCATTGGTTTGTGGTCAAACCAATCAACAGGGTTCTCTGAAACAAAAATGTGTGTGTGTGTGTGTGTTTGTGTGTACATGCATGTGCAGGTTGAGGAGTGTGCAAGACATTTACTTTTTACATTCAAATTGCTGCCTACTTTCACAGCTGTGTGTGTTCATTGAAACAGATTTATTTCAGATAAAAATGGAAAATTAAACACATTTAAAATAAAAAATAAAAACTTAGTGATCACGCTACACTAAGCGAACTACTCTTCAGTAATGCTTGTTTACGTGTCTTGTATTCCCCAAAAAACTCAATTGGAAGTTAGATCCATATTTAAATGTCCTGCAAACCAACAGTTACACTTTTCTAAGATAATATGTGATTTTTTTCTCACAAGTGGAATACATCGTTCGTGTGAGACATTTCCAATATATCATATTCGGATAACAGTTCAGAGGCTCCCTCCAACTCTGTGCTTCTAATAAATACCATAGACTGTATATGTAAAGGTAAATATGGTCTAAAAGCCATGAACGAATGTGAGATTGTACTGAAGTGTAGTTGTTTACACTCAGCTTTACCTTCTGTTACAAGTCAAAATGTATTTGAAAAAGGTAGAAAAGAGCAAAGTTAAAGTTAAACATACTTCTCTTCGTCTTACACTTCCATCATAATGTTCTACACCCTTTAAACCCTTTTTAACTTCTTTGAATAAGCACTCTACAAAATTACAATGTGTCTGACTCAGTTCAATAGTCAGTACCTATCTGGTTGGTTTGGATGAATGGAACATTGTTGTAAAAGAATAACACACTGTGGTTGACAAAAATTGCCAAATGGGGAGTATTTGGTGGGAGTGGGAGAGAAACTCCCTCTGGAATTTCAGCCTTTGCAGACCATTTGCATGCACACAAAGCTATATAACATACTACAGGAAAGGGAAACCGCCCAAAAGCATTATAGGGCCTCTTTAATACATTTTTGTTCAAATACAAGTTGTAGCTTAACTAAGATAATGTTTATTTTGCTTAAACAGTAGGTGTTGCTGGTTTAATTTTCCATGTTCTCATAATAGAATACTAAACTCTAAACATTCAAACAATCTGAAAAGGAGCCACCTTCTCCTGCACTGTGAGCCATTCATTACGCACAGTGTGAAAACTGTTATGCCAGGTGTGAGCAAGGAAGTTATTGGAGAAGCTTTGTCTGGCTCTACGCCAAATCACTCCAGTGTGTTCCATTGTATGAAACACACTTACACACAACAAACACCTCAGTGTGAGGTGATTGGTTCATACTTGATGGCCACGGGGCACTGAGGAACAGCTATTAGAAATTAACATCAATTTGACATGTTCATCGTGCTGTTTGCAGCCCAGAGCTAACACTTCATGCTGAGCTCATGCCACTGACAGGTGAGTCTCTTTGAGTCTTTCTTTCTTATAATATTCACTATCAATTGCTCGCTGCAACCTTTCACTTGTAATTTGCCCTCAAGCTCTGCTCAATTCTCGATACCACCAAAAGACGATATAGTCTACTTTTCTTTGTCCAACGACTGATTAAGTTAGCCTCTGCTTCCCTCACCTCCAGCTAGGGTGTCCCATTCCAAGCATGGCATACATCAAATGTGGAGATTCACACATGAACATCACTGACATTTAAAATTGAACAGGTTTTTTTTTTACTTTGTCACAAAAAAGGTAGAACATTACCGTAGCTTATGAGGTCATGTTATCTAGAAGCTGTCTAAATGAACAGTTGGTTTAGGCTGACCTATTTCAGCTATTGTCTTTCACCCTCACACACACAAACACATACACACCATGTCTCCTCAGTTTGAGCACTCAAAGACAGGTGAACGCACATAAACATACATGAATCTGGGCATGGATTTGCGGACACACACACAAAGATGCACCATTGTGCTATTATTCTGTCTCCAGTTTGTGCTCTGACCCTCTGGCCCTGTGCCAGTTCATTTGCATATTGTACTAATGAGGTGTTGGCACTGTGAACGAGGCGTGAGGCACACAGGGAGCCACACACAGATAAAGGAGATGGGAAAGACAGACCGACCGACCGCCGACAGACAGACAGACAAATGGGAAATTCCGTTTTAAAGTTGTTTTTTTCTCTCGATTTGGCCATAACATTTCCTCTGAGATTCCTTATAGAACGTCAGAGCGGGGCACCGTCCGGAGTCCGCCTCACTCCCCTCCAGCGGCTCCCCCGTCCTGAGGGGACGTCACACCAGCTGCCACCGCTCCAGCTTCCATCTGGGCACGGATACATGTCCAGGTGTGTGTGCCCGTCACCTGCCAAAAGAGTTGCGTTTCCCAAAGAAAGACGCTCGTAGGCAGGCTTTCAAAATCCAAAGACAAACACAGCCGAGCTCAGCCCAGATCCTGAAACCAAGGTGCAGACCTGTCACTACGTGTATGACAGGCGAGAAAACAACAACCTTACTAAAAAGGACAAATGTGTCTCTACTTCCCATGTCTAAAAGCCATTACAAAATCTATTTGATTTTGGTTAAAGAAACAGTTACAGATGCATTAAACTGCTCAAGACACTGATTAAATTAGATTCACTTTAAAAGTGGTTGTTTCTCCATTTCCTGTAGGTCTGCTGCAGGTCAATGACTAACATTTGATCAGTTTGTTTCTCTGATCACTTTAGATCCAGATGCTGGATGACTAAATCCTTCAAGTGGCTTAAACCTTTTGGTTGTCCCTTTCCTGTAGTGTTTTATATAGGTTTGTGTGCATGTAAATGGTCTGCAAAGGCTAAAACCCCTGTGTTCCCTCCAGAGGGAGATTCTCCGCATGTACAAAGGGGATATGAATTTATACAGGCGGTCAAATGAAAATGATCTCGGTTGGAAAATGGGTGAAAGCATTTGGGATAATGTAAATACACAACCCATACATCATTTTATTTAGAATTTCAAATCCAGAAATGTTACATATTCTATTATAAAAATGAAAACACACCTGCAAATTCAAATACGAGAAGTTAGTTTTTATTGCACTTCTTGCCTTATTCTAGTTCATGACACCTATACGTTTAAGAAAAGATAAAGGAATGTGTTCATGTGCTTGGCTCCACTTTAACAATCTCTACGCCTAGTTATCCGGGGTAACTTTCTGTCTTTATTTGCGCTGGATGGCTGGCAGCTATGAGATAATCACCTTCCTCTCTGTGCCCTGAAGCTGTGTCAGGCAGGCCTCAAGGCTGCTTCGCCTGAGCGGCAATATGCAGACACATTTCTTCACACACACACAATTTTCCACGAGCACATTCACACAAATACAGTTACATACACATGCTGAGTCTTCTCTCTTATTTTGCGTGTGTGCCCTCCTTGGGAGATGCAAAGTCAATTGTGGAGCCTTCAGGAGCAGGGAGGCAACCACGGGGCTGTGTGTGGAGGAGGTGAGTGTGTGTCTGTGTGTGTGTGGAAGAGGTGATGTGACATTTCTGGGCTGACATGAAGCGGCACTCTGCCCCCTCGCGCCTGGAGGGAGCTCCCGGGGAAAGACACTGATGGAGGTCTGGGGTCTCCTGGGGGGAATTTCACGGTGTGAACAAAAAGCCCTGCGATGCGGCAAAAAACGACACAAGCTAGCTGCTTTATGCTCTGCTGAATCTCGTGGAAGCAGTGGAGTGTATATTTTCATGATGTAGAAAGATATAAGGATGATATCTAAAATATTAACGGATTTTGGGATGGTTATAAATCAAGAACATATGATAAATCACCCTGCAGATGACACATGATGAGCCACTGTTAACGCCATCAGTATTCATATTCAGTTCCTCCTCTAGCCGCTTTTCAACCACAACATACCAGCCTACAATCAACCAGTTTTTTTTCTCCTGAGTGTTTCAAGCCCGAAAACTCCTGAACGCAAACCAAACCGCAGAGAAAAGCAGATTGTCGGAGCTATTGCAACAGAAACAGGCAACATTTCATCACTTTTCTGTCACAGCAACAGCAGCATTTAAAATCCGACCCTAAATGATATATGAACGTCCCTGCGGAGTATGAGGCCGTAGCAAAGCATCCTCGCTCTAACCTACACCCTTTTTTTTTGCTGCTGAGCGTCACACTCACAGAGGGTAATTCATCACCGCTAATTGCCTAACTTAATCTTGGCACTGTGTCCAATGAGCAAGCATGTTTATCGGTGTATGTGTGGGCGTCAGATAGCGGGAGAAACCGTACGTCTGCGTGTCAGTTGAACAGCTTCTGCCTACAGCTGAAAAGTAAAACTCCACTCTACATTTAATTCCTTTAATCCGCAAAAATGTCAAATATCGCGCTGTTGTATGTGTCAATTCTCACTTAAAATGTCACTGTTGGGGACATTCCAACTCAAACTGGGATTTGCAGCGCATACAAACCTGCAAAATAAGTTGAATCGCATTGCAAAAACTTGCAAAAGAGTGATGTCGGTATTGACAGTGGACAGTCAATAAGTAAATAAAAGTGAGCAGGCAGAGCGCTGTGACAGACAGAATAATGATGTAGTGTGAGCAGCGTGGAAGCAGCACCTTCCATACAAACTAATCCAAGAGCTTAAGGCTCACAGTAAACACGCACATAAGTGATTATCGTCGTTAAACTATCAATCATCTTTCGCCACACACAAACACACTCGCTATAATAAAGAGTTATGCAGCAGGGATGTGAGAAAGTAGCAACCAGAGTCACCCTAGGAGGGGATTGGGTTTCATGGATGAGGCAGCTGAAGATATTTCATGCAACTTAATGCCAGAGCCGTCCCCCTCCTCCTCTTCCCCCACGTCTCTTCTCCGCAGCACACACAGACATGAGATACTTCTCTTCAGCCATGACAATATTTTTTTTTACAGTTGGAAAAAAAGACAGAAAGCCTGCAGGCCGTGTTGTTGTGGCCAACCTTGTGGGTGCATGAGAAAAGAAACATGTGGGTATCACTTACACAAATGGCCCACATAAAAGTGCCCGAGCTAGACAAAATATAGAATCTGAGCCTCTGTGGCAGCGCAGGCCTTTCCTGTGTTTGTGATGTTTGAGCATTCTGCTGATGATGGGTAAAGGAAACATCCAACATGGCGGACTGGCTTCTAACAGCAATGTGTGTTAATGAAATGACTCCTTTATGTGTGGGTGATGTCCTCTGAATATGTGCTAAAACATTGATTGGGTTAACTGTAGTTGCCCTTTTCTGTACTGCTGATGTGTAGATCAAGTAATGATCCATGAATGAAACTCATGGGCTGTTCTAGGGGTGGGCGAGCAGGGGGGATATTTTTTAATAATGTAATTTAATACAATTGTAACTTATTCATTTTTTGACTTCATACTGAAGTAAAATGTGACCAGTAAAATTGGTCTAGAACCGCCTCTAAAAACGTAAAGCTGTCACAGGACACATTTATCAATACCATTAAATAAGACAGCATTAATGTCTTGATTTTTAGGGCAAAAGGTTCAAATCAATAAGGTCAATTTCCTGCCTAATGTTTAAAACCGCAATTTAATCTCTTAATCTGACACTGAAATAACTGGAAAATGAAAAATACTCACTTACCTTGAAATTTGAGTTAACAGATAATATATAACTAGGGCTCAAAAATGATCAAAGCCCGTTTCCACAATTTTTAGATTATTTTCAATAATTATGAAAATTAATGTAATAATTTACTTTTATCATTATAAAATATGTATGTTTTCTATGGCAGAAATGGGCTTCCATACAATATATGTACCTAATTATCAAAAGGCTGCAAATCATTCTAATGATTCTAATCATTCATTCCAAGTTTCAAATAATGAAATCTACAAGGCCGTTCCCAACAGTTTTTTTTTTAACACTGACGTATGGCCCATTTCCACTGCAGGGCCTCGCACGGCTTAGTACGGTATAGTTAGGCCTTGATAGGCCAGCCTCACTTTATGCTGCGTTTCCATTACAGTTTAGGAACTGGGGTAGTAACTATAGAGTGGCGAAGTCACGCCCATCTACTTCCGCCCCATGGGAACTTATTTCTGAAAAAGTATGTATTGAAGTCAATGGAGAGAGAAAGATTATCTTTCCATCCCGTTTGAATTGTGCCATGAATTACACATATGATGTTTGTCTCCCGAAAGGGGAGGGACTTCGCCACTCTATAGTAACGCAGTGTAGGCGGAGCCGTGACGTCATCTTCAATGCAAAACACAAAACCAACATCAGCCGTTAGCCCTTAGAGCTCACAGCTCCTCATATCTGTTCAGAAACTAGACAAAAGTTAAACAAGTACAAACCACAGACTGCCTGTGTCATGGCGAATACAGTCGCTGATTTATTTATGTCTGTATAGGCCGTTGTTGTGAGTGTGGACGGTCGGAGCATATACGACGTTAGCTTAGCCAAGCTACATTTAGAAAACACGCATTTTAAACGTTTTTTTGCCTGCCGTCTGTCTGCAGACTTGTCAAAGGATTAATTCATGGTTTTTACTAACCGGTATCAGTATGTTGTTACTTCGGCATCATTTTGAAACGTGTATTACAATTAAATCACGGTCAAATATGTTCAACTTGTTGTAGTTGTAGCCCCCTTGCCAGCGTTTCTCTCTCTAGTTTAGCATATTCAGCCCGGTTGTTGGCCCGGTAAGAACCTGGATTTTGGAGAGCCAGAAAAACTGTGAAAAAGTACCCGTTAGCCGGAACTACCCCTAGTGGAAACGCAACAAAAAACGGCATTCGGCATTACATTCTTTGTTAGTTTTAAGTGGAGCACTTCATCTATTATAATTGCATAACGCACTGTTACTGTAATGAACAAAGTGGGTTTAAAACTTGCTGGAACACCATCAAAAATAGTGTGATGGCATGCTATCTATCGAACCTCATAAGGAACAATTTCCTCTACTACAGATATGATCTAACCTGTCTCTTTGAAATTCAGACTTTTACTCAACTATAAGTTGCACAAAGAGCTGTCTCCGCAGTGAGAGGACATCCTTTGAAAGGACTGTCTGAGGCTGATTAAGGGGAGAGCAACTTGAAAGAGCATTGTTGCATCTTTGTACTTTTGACATCTTTAAACCTTAGTCAGTGTATTCCCTTCAGTAGTTTTAGTACCAACAGACAGGAGTGTCAGCAGTAAGCTAACTAATGTACTGTGGTGGATGTTGGCAGAACCACAATGTATTATTTCCACCTCCACATATTATTTTAAGGTGAAGTGTACGCTTAGTTAGGAAATATTTTCAAAATAAATATTTAGTTGTATCCATACAGTGAGACAGCTGACCTGTCTGTGATTCCAAGATGAAGTGAGGAACGGTTATTTACCTTTGTTTACCAAAGGTGATTATCAGAGCACTTTACATTTACAAGTCATCTCTCACCTATTCACAACCCATTCATTCAGAGGTAAGGGGCTACCACCTATTTAAGTAAGCTAACATTCAAACATCGTTTGCCACCCACCAGGAGCAACTTGGGTTAAGTAGCATGCCCAAGGATACATCGACGTGTTGACTGCAGCGCCCAGGATCTAACCCACAAACTGCTGATGGAAAAACGACAGCACTATCTCACCGCCTAACCTCTCAGAACTAACTCACTTTAAAACACTAAAGTAACACAAAAGGACAAACAAATTGACTGATCGAGTCAGCGGTAGACCAGCAACTCCCATGTTCTTTGAGGTATAATTAGTGTTTTTGTCAATGGAGTCTTGCGGCTTTGAAGAAAGCACAGATAACAACTTCAGTTTCCTGTTGGAAATGGCTGTCTGGCAGCAAAGTAAGGCGCTGAAAATATTCTTGATATAGCAAACTGGTATTTTTCTTTTTTTAGATGGGTCTTTCTCTCTAGTGTCTTTAATCCTGTTGGCCCCAATTCACAGCAGTTTATTTCTTAGCTTCTTGCTGATACTTATGTGGCCTGCTGACCATTACTGACTGTAGATAATACACTTACTAAGGGTATACCTCATATAAACCCACTTTAAAAAATCGAAATCTCCTTTTAACAACCTCCGTGATAGATAGATCTCAGATTGATATGGAGCTGCCTTGTCAACTTTGTTGTGTGTCAAGTAGCATAGACTTTTTTTTCAGACCTTCTCTGAAGCTCAGAAAGAAAAAGTGTAATTCAAAAGCAGCGTTTTGATCTGATATGAAGCTCTAATAGCTCCTGCAACTGTCACACATTCTCCCGTGAGGTTTCCACATGTCAGACTCTTCTTGTCATCACCACGACAAGACAGATAATTTGTCATCACTTCAACATTTAGTGCAATGAAAACTACAGACTTTTCTATCAAAGTAAATGGGCTAACATGTTAAGGTAGAAAATGAAAAACACATAGTATGAGCGACAGTACAGTAGACGCAAGGCTCAGCTTGATTCTCATGCTTTGGGGAAAAGTGTCAGAAAAGAAAAAGGATTTTACTAACTGAAATGAACAAAAAAACTCTAAGTGCACCCCTACTTATTCCTGCTCCAGTGCAGTGCTTTATGTGCTTTAAGTGATTATGTTTAGATGAATAACTGACTTGAGGACAGACAAGCAGGAGAGTAAAACACGTCATACTCACAGCGTAATTCCTTATATATCCCAGCTTTGGTACAAGAAAGAAAGGAGATTGTTTAACTACAGTCATTGGGCGGGAAAATTAGAACACAATAACAGCTTTAAATGTTCCCTTTTGCTTGTTACACACCATGGTGACCAAGTCATTTAGCAGTCATCGGCCCGAAAGTGTTTTTGTTGTAAAATCCGTGGTTCATTCTCAGTGATTTCTTGGTATTTATTATGTATCATGCATTTTGTATTCAAGCCAAACCTGAAATAGTAATGACAGGGTTTTTAAGTTAAAATGACCTTTTGAAGTGTTGACTTGGAATTAAGGAGGCAATTTTCTCTTGCTCTAATAAAGTGCCCACACGTTTTTGTAGGCCAACCTGAAGCTAGCATCGCCCTGGTTCTCCTAACTAGAAGCCAATGGGATTTTCCATCAGATTTGTGAGTATTGCAGAAAACGAGCTATGTGTCAAACCAAGTTGTATGACACTTTACTGTATATTTTTTGTTCAGATTTCATAATCATTTATATGATTTTTGAATGGGTAAATGCATTTATCTAAAGTAGAAAGTTACAATTTGACTATAAACAAAATACATTGCAGTCACATGTCGCTTCTGTTTGACGTAATGTATAGCAGTCTCTCTTGTTAACAAGGCTTTTTTTTTTACACGTAAAAGCTTCCAAATTCACACTTTTTTACGCTTGTGTTAACCATAAACTAATTGAACATCCAGTTTTTATGTCCCAACAGAACCTAATAGACATTTTATTTAAATGTTTTATGTGTAAAATAAATGTACAGTTTTTTGTTTGTAAATACTGTTAGCATCTCAGCTAGTACAACCATAGCATCACGTTAGCTAACCGTCAGGCGAACATTTTCATTAGAGGGGGGAAGCACTTGTATGTTGCTCTACATTTAAAAATAATATGTAGAATTGTTCCTCTCCCTCACAAAAAGAGATTACAATTAATATAGAAGTTAGAACAAAGTAGTTCTGACACCAAGTTTGTAAAGTAAAATAAAGATTGTTACTGGCTGGTAGAATGCAATGTATACACCCTGTGGTATGTTATTGTGTTCAGTACGACCATGAATAACCTACAACAACCTGTCATATTTCAGACCCAAATCCTTTTAGCTAACCAACTTCACACTGACTTCAACTTAATTTGTGTATAAACTGTGTATAAAAACGTTTAGCTCAGTCGGGGTGCAGTGCATCTGTAAAGAATGCTTTACATTACTGTCTGTTTAGTGTTGTGAGCTTTAGCTTTACTACCAGACGTGATGCTAAGCTATGCTAAATACCTCCCGCCTTAAGCTGCCTACTTGACACACAGACATGACAATGGTATCTGTCTTTTCATTAAAGTCGGGAAAGTAAAGCTAGTTAGTGTACTTCCCAAACTGTCAAACTATTCCTTTATCGATTCATGCTGTTCTCAACCATCGTTAACTACAATTATATGTGGAGGTATATCATGTTTGCCGTGTGAGTGATCCATTCGGGACTCAGTGATGATGACCACATGTATTTGCCAGGAGATTTGTGACATACTATCTGCAAAGCCTATAAGAGAAGTTGTAAGTGTTCAAGTGCTGGTTAAAGGAAGGAAATGTACCTTGTTTCTCTTGAAATAGGCTCTACGGCAGGCAGCAAAGCACTTCTCGCTGCAGAAACTCTTCAGCTCACTCCCCATGCTCAGAGAGTAGCGCTTGACGCCGACCTTCTGGCACCAGGCGCACAGGATCTGCATGTTGGATGCATCTTCATCTAGAAACAAAAAAACAAATGGTAAAAGTGAGTAAGGATAGATATTTTATTTGTATTTACTCCAAACATTCTCTTGCACTATTTTATACTATTTAACGTTTTATTATGTCCTATATATATTCATGTTGCACTGTTGTAGGAGCCTGTGACTTAAGCTTTTCATTGCCATATCCACACTGTAGCTAATGTGCACGTGACAATAAAGCCTTGAATCTCTTGAATCTCTTGAATATGGCCTTATGTTAAGTATTCCTTTTTGCTTTAAGTGCAAGTCCATTGCAGATAATGTCCACAGGTATGCAACAACTGAATGTATTAAACACAAAGACGGCAGGGCTTGTTTAATCCGCTCAAGCCACAAAAATACTGTGGGATTCATGAGCTGGGGAATTTGGAAGATGCCTTTTTGTGGCTCTTCTATGGCTGCAATAAAGTTGAAGTGGACACAATGAAGAACTTGGGTGACGCTAAAGATCAGCAGGTCTAGTCTGTGATGTGTGTTCTGAGTGGGTGTGATTAATTAATTATTAACGATGAGGGCCCTTCGAGAGTAGAGAAAACGAAAAAAACGAGGGTGGTTGTGTGTATATATACTGAAAATATTTTTTTAATAGTAGTAAAGTTGGTGTGTATTTGTATGGGGATTTTTATAGCAGGGCCCTGGCAGTTAAAGTAGACTGCAATATATTATCAATAAAAAGAATAAAATATTTGTTATTCAGTTTATAAACAGTATGCTAGTCAGTACGTTTATTTCTCAGATATTGGTGGTTTGCCCGAATTCATGACCTGTGTGGAAGTGTGCCCGCAAAGAAGGCGTTCTAAATTTGATTTAAAGGTCAAAAACATCTCCTCTGACTTTAGATTTATTGTTAGCCCTAACACATTTCTGAATAAATCTTTAGTTGACCTCAACACATCTCTCGTTTCAACGGAATTCATTTGGTGCGTAAAAAAAGTTTTTGGGAGAACAACACTATAATCTATTGAAAGCTGCAGTAATGGCTTGAAACCTAGTTCCCCGTTTGATTTAGAGGCCGGTGCAGTGCTGCTGTGTGGTCAGTGTGGGCAACAAATTATTAATTATTATATTAAACAGAGCCTCGGTGACAGTGAAATGCCTCCTCTGTGGTAAACTGTGACTGCCGGTGATGAGCTGCGGGCTTTTAGTGCCGTCGCTGTTGCAATAAGAGAGATCCTCCGAGATTCCCTCCAGTATTTCCCAATTATCACATTATGACTACGCGAGTGAGAGGGCGAAGAAAACGCAGGCCCATTAGTCTTTCCCCCCCGCTCACCTCCTTATCGCACGCTGGCCAGGATTTTCACCTCTTGTTGAGCTTAACGGATCTGCGGGGCCATCAGATTTTAAGTAAAGACTAACTCACAATTAGGGGAATAACTCCCAGAGGCCCTAAAGATAGCACTGTAGACCTAACATGCATATTTTATGTCTTTCCTCTCCTTCCTATAGTCTCCCTGCCTTTTGGTATGTATCTGGATTGCTTCCTGAAAAACCTCCTGGGCTGACTGGGTGGGTGGATCGGGGTTTCTACATTTCTCAAAATATGTCGATACCACAGCATGATGAACAGGATCGAAGGCCAACATCAAATCACAACATCTTCCATATTATCTCAACATTTTCATGCAAAGCGACATCTTGAGGTGGAGTTGTTTTTCGTCTTCTCGTGACCTGGCATCTCGTAACAAGCTCAAAAACACTCACATCTGCATGAGCGGGGGGAAAGCCGGCAGTAATTATGCAGCCTCCGTGCTAAATGCCACCATCATCTGCGTACCTGCACCTCAAAAGGTCCTTTGTCGGATTTTTGCGGGCCACATGAATAATTCAGCATATGTCTGAGGGTGGAGAGGGGGGGTGAGTTGAAGGGGGTGGTGGCCGGGTGGCGAGTTGGTGCTGGGCTTTAAGTGGGACCGCACCATCTGCTTCCCCGCCTGGGCAGGGCCAGCAGGGACTCCTCTTGGGCGATGCCAAGGCGGTCGCTCCCTCCGCTGGGGCGTAGCAGCCTCCTGTGCCGCAGCAGACGCAGGGGATAATGAAGCCCTCTGTCTGGCCCAGGAACGAGGACGTTTCCTCAGAGAGTTGACGGGGTTATATTGACACTTGGGCAGGTGGAGGAAAACAAGGTGTACAGCAGGTAGCTAGCTCATTAGTCGCCAGTCCCTGCCTGGTTTGGAGGCTCTCAGGACGTCGCGCAGACAGCAAGTTGATGCATAAACATTCAGCTTTCTTCTAAGTGCTGAAGAATTAGCAAGTAGGTTTTTACTGTCACTACAATGTATTCTGTGTGGAAAACAGCTGTGGGTGAGATATTTGCCAGTTCTTTGGATTCTGACCGGAGAAATTATTGTGGGTGCTTTGTGGTTGGGCTGAAATTAAACCGTGATCTTTTTAGAAATGTTAAATATAGCAATTTCAAAGCATTTTTTATGGTTTTTTCATGTTGGGCGACATGTACAAACGCGCTTCAACAGCCATTAGAAGACACGCGCTGCACTTTTACAAACGATGCAATAGTTGGTAGAGCTGGCAGCCCATATACTGGGGTTTGGTCCCTGAGTGGCAGACCAAGGTACGAATCCGGCTCGGGACCATGTGCTGCATGTCATCCCCTCTGACATAGACACAATACAGACACAAGTTGCCCAAAAAAAGGATGCGTATAAAAAAACACACATTTTCCAAAACCCATGCACCAACTTTACAACACAGCATTGAGAAAACATTCACAAAACGCTGCAAATAAATAAACGATGCAAGAAGCTTAAAACCGAATGGCAACAGGGACAATAAAAAAGTGACAAAATACTTTCGGGGATTATACAATCACTGGAAACATACCTAAAATGTCAAATGTATTGGTTTATTTTAACAATGTGATTGCATAATTCCTTCTGATATTATTGCAGATCTGCTGTAAGCTAGCAAGCTAACGTAGCTAAACTTGTCAATTTCGAATATTCTGACAAAACACTTACAACTATGAAACAGACTTACTCCGCCAACAGACAGTTTATAATTCCAAAATATCAACAAGCGTCCCAACTGTGTCCCGTTACAGGTTTGAGCTTTTTGCAGCAATTTTTTTATTTGCAGCATTTTGTGTTGGCAGTGTTGTTGTGAAGTTGGTAAAATATGCTTCTTCATTTGTCATTTGTTTTGGCAGATGTATGTTTTTATATTTGCATACATTTTAAAAGTGCAGTGCGTTAATTCTAATGGAAGTGTTTATGGCCGGTGGAGCTCGTTTACCCTTTAGTTGACAAGGAGTTATATGTACTACTTCTCAACCTCAATATCTTTCCAAGTGTCAGTACTCCTTACCTGAGGGGGGCTTGATCAGTGGCGGGGGGATCATGGGGACAATGATGGGCATGTTGCCATGTTCCTTGGTGCCAGGCATGGAGGTGGAGGGCTCTGTGACTCCGTTCCTGGAGCCTGGCAGACAGTGGGAGCTGTTGGCTCCATCCGGAGAGCCTTCACCGCTCTCTGTTGAGGCTGGGATTTTTGGCAACAAGTTTTCTAGACAGGGGGAAATTGAGCAAAATAACATAGCATTACTAAACAACTGATGAGATGCTGTGCAATAATCCGTAAATTGTGGAATAATGTAAAAGCCTAGTATGGCTTAATTTGACATAAACTTTGGGTCATTTTTGTACACATAGTTGAGACACAAGTGATAAAGCATGTTAGAATTTTTTTATTTTAAAAGCCCTACAGAAACATTGTGGAAAAAAAAGCAACAATGAAGGTTAAAGACTAACTCGTTAATTGGCAGTGGATAACATGACCAAATACAATGTGAAATCACTCATTTGGACAAGAAGGTCAAATACAGACGTTTCCTTAAACTTGGGTTCTGATTAGGGCTGTTAACGCATTAACGCTCAAGATTATTCTGTAAACCTTAACACGTTGAAATGAATAACATTACTAAGTTAGACCACAACTGCTTCCAGTAGTCCCAGTGTGGATGTTTACCTCGTATAGCATGGAAGTGAAAAGGCAAAGAAAGTGGTGGGACTGTTTGAGTGTATGTCACTGATTGGAGCTCAAAATAAAGTTATTTGTTTGCTTAGATTTGTCAGGTGGACAACTGAGTGCTAATGTCGCTCTGTGTCTCCTGGGAGAGTAGCAACCGTTAACTGACTGCTAACAAGTGCACCATATCAACTTTATGAGATGACAGTATGTCAATGTTGTGTTTGCAGCTCATTGCATTCAGTAGCGTGGCGTGGGGAAAAAATGGGCTTCCCCTAAAATATGGGCTTCCCCTACATTTCAATAACGTAACCAGATGTAACATGGTCAATAACGTAACCAGATGAGTGATTACAGCGCCCGGTATCATTTTACACACATTTGTATCACACAGATGCAGGACTTGCACACGCCTGTTATCTAACCGAAAGGTCCGCACGCACTCTCCAGCTGAAACTCTCTCCTTATTAATTTAATGCAGACAATCACACAATCTATGAGATTTTTGGATTTACCGTGCCTCTCAATTGCCCGTGACAGGTCGATGAATCCTGAAGTTGCCCAAGGATTGTTCAGGGAGCACGAATCCTTGTCAAAAAGAAGACATGGCCAGCAAAATAGACGCTGAAGTTTAGCGCTTCCAGTTAGCCACTCCGTGCGGACATAATTATCCTCATTGAACGTCCGATTCTCTCCCTTTTTCCTCTGTGTACACACAGCTCGAGTGCGGGCATTGACCTGTCATCTTATTTAATTTTCAGTTGCTGCTGTAGCGGAAGTTTAGTAAAGTTATGTTTGATTAAGTACGCCAAATCTCCACCCTCCATAATGCTTCATTTGCTTGATAATTTCTAACGGCGGTGATGACAGTTACAGTATTAAAACTGATGTTGATGTGATTTGATTGGAGGGCAGTGTCCAATCAAATCGCCAGCCGCCAGCCGCCTCTGAAGGGAAGCAAGAGGCGGCTGGCTTCCCTTGGCATGGCCCTGACCAATCACAGGTTGGCAGGGGCATCACGTGGGCCTCATCTGATTGGTCAATCCCTCAATTTTTTTCACCAAGGGAAGCCAGATTCGGCTGGCCTCCTCTCGCAACAGTGAGTGCAATCTACTGTTTCACCATAACATCTAGAGGGGCGCTGTTTGTTTCACTCTTTGTAAAATACTCAATGAGAATGGGAGAGCGACGGGCCGGCAGCAACACACAGCAAAGGAGAATGATCGAAACAAAACAAAGTGTTTTTATTTATTTATTTAAATTATAACTACAATCCGAAAAACAGGGGAAGCCTGGCTTCCCTTGGCCTCCGGGAGAAAACGCCACTGATTGCATTGCTCCCAAGAGGCCAGAAATTAATTGAGGCAGGTTTAAAGCTCAGAAAACCTTCTTAGTTTGAATTAGTTTCATTTGAGTTTAATACACCTTTATAATTAGAGGTCAGCTAATCTGGTTCATTAGTGCAGTGTGGTAGTGGAGCTGACTTCACATACGATTGACAGTTCAGGAAGCATGAGCTAACACTTAATTGTTGCATTTTCATTGGTTCATAGAAAAGATGACATCACAATTTTCCAACTGAGCCCTGCCCACTTCAGTGCAATGAGGATACATATAAAGTCTTGTAACCTTAAATGTGACCTTTAAAAAGGCCTTCTTACTATGCATTTCACATAGTAAAAAGCTGTCATAATTACATTTAACAAGTACCTTTAACAAAATAACAAAGACGTTTCATATTCTCATTACGTAATAGATTTTCACGACCCATTAACAAGCACTTATTTCAATGTCTTTCATGATCTTTCCATACCTTTGAGGACAGAGATGTGCTGTGGCGTCTCTCCCATCTCCAGGTTGTCAGAGTCTCGCAGCTCCACCTTGTCGTATCCGTACCAGCCCAGCAGCTCGTTCATGGTGTTCTCTGCAAAGCTCTGCAACACAAACACGAACCACTCAGACTAGCTTAGTTACAGAGGCAAACTTCTTCACAGTTGAATGAAGTAGAACGAGAATGCAGGTTACTTGTAAAAGGAAGTGCAACGATCTGTTACTTTGTTGCATTTGCTGTTCACATTTCTTCAACTGATCATGCAGAGATATTGCAAACTCAAAACAAATGTTGAATAGAATATCACAAGGTATTATTCATAAGTAGGTAAGACTACCTAATTGGGATTAACTCTGACTAAATGCTGCAGAGCCAAACTAATGGTCTTTATTGTAAACTTAAATAGGAGGAAGTAAACAGAGTGTAACAGAAAAAGAAAAAAAACAGCTTATCACATAAGAGTAAAATAGAAACCAATTGAATTTGAAAAAGCACTTCATCTAATATGGCAGAGGGGTTTAATGTCAGAGATATTCTATCAAGTTTATTTATGGTATACGTTATCTTCGTAGTTCTCAGTGTGCCTTAACCCACTAGAAAAGCCAACTAAGTTATGGGTGTTAAGCCTTTATTTGTTTTATTCTTATATAATTTCACATTATGATATATTTTCATATGTACAGGTTTTTATGAATGCAATTTATTTCATTATTGTTTTTTATGTATAAAGCATAGTATGTTGTGCCGTTAGAAGGGCCTGGGTATTAAGATTTACTTACCAAAGAAATCACACGCCAGCTGTTGTGCATATGAGAATATCATTATGCATTATTGGTTTATGCCTTCCTTTGTTGTTTTCATATCATTTTCAAATTCTATTGTTCTTGGCACAGCCCTGTTCTTGCCATTTGCTGTCTATTTTAAAGTGTGATTCCCTGTTTTATTTCTGCAATATTTACACTTATTTTGATTTATTGTCTTTTTTCTACTTGATAAATAATTGTGTAAGACTATTCCTTAGTTCCCAAGCGCTTTTTAACATTTAACTGGTTATATATTAGAGTAGGAACACTACTACGGTGGCCGACAGGTGCAAACGAGCTACAACAGCCCAACATTTCCATCAGAAATACGCTGCCGTTTCAAAAAATATGCAAATAAAAAAACCACAAAATGGGCCAAAACACATGCAAATTAAGAGACATCTTCACCAACTTGACAACACATGTGCAGCGTTTAGAAAACATTGACCAACTTGTTTCCTATGTTCTAGAAATTCAGTGCTTCTCAAAGTGTGGTCCGCGGACCACTGGTGGTCCGTGAGCGCCCCCTAGTGGTCCGTGAGTATATTGGTAAAATTTCACATTTGAAATAAATAAATACATTTAAGTTTTCCGCACTCTCGCGGGAATATCTTAAGTTTCACTTTCGATTACATGATATAGCCCAGATAAACACCTTCATCACACATGTGGCCACTTGTTTGTACCATTTTCAGGCGATTTGTAAAAAACGATGTGTTTTGGGATATTTGTGGAATTAGGTGGTCCGCGAGTGTTTTTTTATTGGTTAAGTGGTCCTTGGTATGAAAAAGTTTGAGAAACACTGATCTAGGCCATTGTAGCACTTTTGCACCTGTTGGCCAATGTACACTACATGTAGTCTACATCTCCATCTTTGTGAACAACCAATCACAATACAGAAAAAACACTAATAAAGAGTCAAAGACATTGGGATTTCAGCTGTCACTGAGCAGCAAATGGCACTTCATAGTTAAGAGCATATAGTCCAGGACACAGTCTTGTGACAAATGCCATGCAAGTTGCTTTGAGCCCGGCAGTAAAGTCCTAACATTCAGCAGCAGCACAGCAACGCAGAGTGCTCTGCAGGTAGTTAGTGCAGGCATGCAAAAGTAAATCCAACTATATGCAGGTGAAACATATTTCCTCCTCAACAGCCACAGTCAGTAAACACTGTACTCCAAAGGAAACCCTGCTAATGCATAGTCCATTATCTATACGCCTCTCCCATGAAATGTTCCCATATGCGTTAATTCACTGAACCAGAAACTTTGGTAAATGGTTCAGTGAAAAAAAATTGAAACAAATTGAGGATGATCAGCTGTAATGATTTGGTCTGAGCGATAAAATATTACTCACAGGTCACGTAACTATCAGCTTAGAGATAACACTGCTCATCTGCGCTTTAAATAGTGTTTAACTCATATTGGTGCTCAACAGTTTTTCTGTAAATGTTTTTCTATGATGCCCATTTGGAAACTAATGGATAGGGACTTGTCTGGGCACCATGCAGCAGGGAACTGTACTATATATTGCCATGGAGATGACCCGCCCCAGCTACAGTGGAGGAAATAAGTATTTGATCCCTTGCAGATTTTGTAAGTTTGCCCACTTACAAATAAATTAACAGTCTATAATTTTAATGGTAAGTTTATTTTAACAGTGAGAGTAAGAATATCAAAAATAAAATCCAGAAATAGACATATATAAAAGAGAAAAATGTATTTGCATTTAAGTATGGGAAATAAGTATTTGATCCCCTTGCACTTCATGTGTTAGTACTTGGTGGAGAAACCCTAGTTGGACAGCACAGAGGTCAGATGCTTCTTGTAGTTAATCACCAGGTTTGTGCACATCTCAGGAAGGATGTTGGTCCACTCCTCTCTGAAGATCCTCTCAAAATCCTTCAGGTGTTGAGGCTGATGCTTGGCATCTCAACTTCAGCTCCCTCCACAGATGTTCTATGGGATTAATGGCCTTGACATGCCATTGGTTGGTTTGCTCCAGATCAACTTGACAAGACTCAATGCATTTCTTTACAGCCAGTCCCACTTTACTATGTACTGCATTATCTCATCATGTCACTACATACATAAGTCCAGGCCCGGACTGGCTATCGGGAGGACCGGGAGGTTTCCCGATGGCCTGGCCTGCTAAGTGGCCTGCTGGCCTGAGGACTTTTTTTTTTTATGTAGGCCTATGTATTGTGAACGCAACGCTGCGCAAATGTGGGTCTGACTCTGCCTCACAGAGGGTGACTGGCTGTCTACATGATGTGGCCTGCCGACATGGCCACTTTCATACAGATCATACTAATGCCCTCGATTGGTCTCTGTGTGTCATTCAAGCTCGGGAGGGTGTGTGTTATGTGTGGCGCGAGCGAGTGAGATAAAGCACGCGCACCGGTTACGTGTATTGTTGTTGTTGTTAGCATCTGGTGCTAGCTAGCTGCGCTAACGGATATAAGGTGGAGGAGAGTCCTCTCCTGTCAGACTGAGAGACTGATAACTACAGCTCAGGTGAGGTAAAAGACTCTCTGAGTGTTTAGATAGTTAACTTAGTCTAAGTTATCCCAGTGGGTCTCAAACGGTTTGGTCACCATTTATGTAAACACATATTTCCATTTGAGGGGGGAGTGATTAGTAAAATATGCATGAATAATAAAAAAATAAAAACGTTAACTAGGTGAAAAAAGGTAAGATAAACTATTAAAACTTGTTGAGAGCTAAAACTAGTCTTTGCTGCTGCCTCAAAGAGGAGCAGGAGGGAGACAGGAGAGGCTGGTTCAGGAGCACAGACACACTCACAACTATAAATGAACCAAAAACAAATAAATAAACAAGTTTCAATGTTTTTCCATATTGGATATGGTATGTTATTGGTTATGGCCATGTTCTTATGATTTTATGATTATTTAAATGTATACAGTTGTGTTTTATATGGGTGTAGTCTCTTTATTTCCCCCTCAAAGTGCACCAGATTGATGCATTTAAGTCCAACATTAAACAAAAATCTTACCGGGGGAGCATGCCCCCGGACCCCCCTATAGGAGTTGAGGTCCACCCCCACTTAAAATATGTTCACAAACGTTCCTAAATAGATTTGCAATTTTTTTTTAAATAGTAACCCATGTCCATATGTTTATTATTGGGTAGTAGATGTAGAGGGCTATCACTATGGGCAGCAACGCTGTAAATATTGACAAATAAATCCAGCAAAATGGCACAAAAAACTGGTAGTGGCCTGGCTGGGTGTATAATTCCCGGCCTGACTTATTGTCCCAGTCCGGCCCTGCATAAGTCACTAAATCAGACAGGGAAATGGCAATTACAAATGTTTTACCTGGCACATTTGCCCGTTCTAAACTGCAAAATACAGACAAATATAGATTCTTGGTAAAGCAAATATGTTAGTGAATCAGCCTTCATTGTTCTATCATGTTTATTTTCAGGTTCATATTTGTATATTGTGCTTCTGCTGTGACTCATTTGCTCTGATTGGTTAGCTGGCCAGTGCTGATTTGTTAACCGCTTAGAAATCCGGCCCCCTTAGACCCCATTTACACTGGAACGCAAACGAACCGAATTCGATATCAAAAAAGTCTTCCGTTCACACGAGACCGCACAAAAGCGCTGGAGACGCTGTAGTACATATGCCAGGCCTGTAAGTGGCGCTGTACTTCCGCCACAAAATACACCAAAAGCAGCGAAGAAGACCCCCCGAGCATGGTTGCCCTTCTGTTTATGCTCCGCGGTGGATTTAGCAACATGTAGTTCATGTAATTCTCCATGTCCACTTGTTGCTGATGGTTGTGGTAGAGGAGCTGTAGATGTTGCACTAACATCTGTAGCATGGTCAGTAGCAGTAGCAGTAGCAACTGACCATGCTACAGCAGTGAGCAGCAGAGGTGGGGCTATGGCTTCATCGTTATCAGGAAATGATCGTATAGGGCGTACACCAGAGTCCTGCATCGGGTCGGGTACCCGACGGGTGACCCGCAAAAAAGGTGATTCGCGGGTGGTATTTTTTCAAACGCTTTTTTCCGGGTTCGGTTCTGGGTAAAACAAAGATGATGCGGGTCGGGTCGCGGGTATTGCATAATAAATATATTAAAATAATAATAAATTAGTTTAATGTTTAAAATCCTCAGACCTCTCCACCGCGGGACCGCGCATAATCATAACCTCTGCAGCGCATCAATCTGCTGCTGTGCGCGCCACATTCGAAATGGCTGAGGTGAAGCTCTCTAGCGGAGAATACAGCATTTTCAATAACACTTCCTCAAGAGCGAAATCCAACGTCT